TTATAATATATATATATATATATATATATTATATATATATCACAAAATAACTTTTATTCGAAAAATTTTTTATAATTTTATTATTTAAAAAAATAACTGAGTATATGCACCTAAATCAAATACATTGTATATACACTACGTCAAAAAATTGAAGGATCACTTATATTACCTTTTAATATAAAAATTTTCGAGGGAATGTAACTTTGTTAAAATTTATTATAATGAGATGATCCAAAAAAAAGCATTTTAAAACTTGAAATTTCTACTTTTCAGATCGGTAGTTTAAATAATGATCTAACTGATTTTTTACGGATTTACACGGATATATGTAGATAAAAATTCAAATCTCAAAATTTTTTACGAATTTTGTCAATAGACCAAGAGGCCACTAGTGATTTTGTTATCCATAGCGACAAGTATGGGAAGTGGATAATCTTTTATTTTATATAAAACATAAAAATAATACATATATGTATATTTAAGCTCAGTCGCTTGAAGAAGAGGTGGGCTTTCTAAAATGTTGCAGATTTTGATTTTTTTATTGAAGGCGTCAAGATTGAATGTTGTTGCAATTAATAGTTAATACCTTTATTCCCCCCAAGATAGGCGGACTTCCATACCCCTCAGAGGAGTGCGAGGGATCATACTGGGTCAAATTGGTAAATTTTTTCTGAAAAAAAATCTATAGCGACAAACTTGAATTTCTATCTATTGCTTAATTTTGATATCAATTACCGAGAAATATGATTCCCATACCTTTCGGATGGTCACGCGAAGAACAGTCATACCTGAACACGTACAATTTTCTTATTCCATGTAAAATTGTTCATATTTGAGTAGGTATAGCTGCTTTCGTGACCATCCAAAAGGTATGGGAATGATATTTCTCGACAATTAATATCAAAATTAAGTAGACAAACATTCAACCTTGTCGCTATCGATTTTTTTTCAGAAAAAATTTACCACTTTGACGCAGTATGGTGATCCCTTGCACTCTTCTGAGAGGTATGGGAGTCCGCCCGAATCTTGCAAGGTATTAACTATCGATTGCAACAACATTCAAACGCTTGACGCTTTCAATAAAAAAATCAAAATCTGCAACATTTTGGAAAGCCCATCTCCCCTTCAAGCGACCGCGACAGGGCTTAAATATATATGTATTGTTTTTATGTTTTACATAAAATAAAAGGTTACTCACTTGCCATACTTGTCGTTATGGATAACAAAATCACTACAGTGACCTCTTGGTCTACAAGGTTCCATAGTGTAGATTAAAAATTGTACACAAAAGCAACTTTCAAAAGAGTGAATCTTTATCTTTAATTTACGTACTTTTTGAGCATTGTACAATTTTCTTCACTGAATTATTTAACATTGAAACAAAAAGCGTTTGTTTGACTTTGATGACAGAAGACGAATGGAATATCGCTCAGTGCTTAATATTAAAAAACAAATAGAAAGAGCTAAATTTTTTCTTTAAATCATCTATACTAATGATATGAAAAATAAAGATTTTAAGCTTTAAAATGCTTTTTAGATAATTTCATTATGATAATTTTTTATGAAGTTATATTCTCTTGAAAATTGTCTATCTTTGGAGGACAGAATAGGTAAATTCTTTGATTTTTTGAAGCAATGTATATTTTTAAAAAATTAAGTTTGTGCAACGACATGCTTTAAACGCTAGAAATAATTTTTTTTAGAGAAATACATATTGATACTTACAGGTACCATAATGGTAGGTCTTACAGGGGCGGGTTGCATAGTAGGATAGTATGCTGTTGTCGCAGCTAACGGCGGATAATATTGCAAGGGATATCCTGGTGGGTAATATTGTAAAGGGTACCCTTGCCCGTACATTGGTTGATACATCTAAACGAGAATCGATATTTGTTGATGAAATTTATTGTTCTTCTTCGAATAGAAACGAAATAATGCAAGTGACTTACCATAGGATGTGTAAGAGTTTGATCATACGTCGGCGGCGGTGGGCCTTGCGTCGCGTACAATTGAGGCTGATTGGGAAATACTCCATAAGGGGCGGCGCCTGCAACTGTTGATGAATATTATCAAAATCTTTATGCCTTTTGTTTTTCCGGTATACCTATCATTACATAATTACATCTATACACGAGTATTGTGTCAGTAATTAGGGGACATCCTGTGTGTGTATGCGTATGTGTGTGCGCGCGCGTGCGTGCATACACATACATACGTATTTATGTACATATATTTATTCTATATAACATAAACGGAGTGTCCCATTTTAGATTTGACAATCAAATATTTGAAAATCAGAGTATTTAGAGAAAAATGTTTCAAATAAAAGTTGTAGGGTTTTAAGGGGGAAAGAAGACGGTGACCTTGGTTGACTTTAAAAAGATAAGGTTAATCAAGGTTATATAAAAGTATGTAGCAATCCTGCCTCCTTATCCTGCTATACCCTTTGTACCTAGTTACAATACCTAGGTGTTCTTAGGTACTGCACAACACTGTATGTATACATATATATAGTTATGAGTACCATATACATATATAGTACTAATTAGAATAAAAATAACGTAATTTTTTAAAATTCTAATTATTATAGGAAGAACTAAATGCACAGTGTGTGATGCGAAATATTGTTATTTTCTACTGTTTCACCTACTCCTATAAGGAGATTCCCTAACAGACTATAAATAAAGTTGCAGAAACACATTGTTTTAGAATAAAAGAGCGATTTGCAAAGATTTTTCAGAGCAAAACATAATATTAGACAAATTCAAAGTAAATTCGGACTTCAAATATTGTAACGTACATATCTTATTCATTGTACTCTTTATACAATGTACGAGATACATTCAGAAAACTGATTGTGGTGTGAAAGAGATTGCATAAGTGTGAGGCTATTCTTATATTATTAAATTATACACATTAGAGGACGATTTTTTTCCTATATTTTATATTACAGTTAAAACACACGTGTTATATTACAGTTAAAATGATTAAATTTGTTATAATTTTGATGAATTCATATTTACAGAACGGATATGAATAAAATGTGATCATGGATCTTATGTTTAACCGGAAATTTTATAGTTAACTGAGATGATTTTACATTCCAGCAACGAGAAAATAAAGCTCAGTGATAGTTTTCTTTACTAATCAAGAATTCATACCTATTTGAATTAATCAATCATGAACTAATCAAAGACGAGCATAAAAGGATAAATAAGTGGAAGATAACGTAGAACCATAAAACAAATTTTTTTAATCAACTAAAACCAGAGTAACTGTTTCTTATAAATTTTAGGTTATTGAATCCGAATTTATAAACGTCTTGCGTAAGATTTTAACGATCTTGCTTAATTTTCTCTCGTATCCTTTTCTGTTTCTCTCTTTAAGTTCTAGCAAAAGTCTGACATCATGGCCCACGCCTTTCATAAATGGGTACGTTTTTTGACAAATAAATGCTTTTATTTTTGAAATTTTATAGTAAATATAATGTAAACTATAAATACGCGCTAACATCATTAGTGTGTTCTAAATACAGGTTCATGTATTCATTTCACAGATTTAAAGGACGTAACATTAGCCCAAAAAAGTGAAATGAAAAAATATAAAAATTCGATAAATATAAAAGACTACAATATGGTATATATGCAAGTATACATATATAGTATATATTAGTAATTCAAAGATTGAATTATTTAAAGCAACGAAGATCCAGCTCCGACCGTAATAGGCAGTTACATTCTAGTATTAATTGAGTTTCTCAAATATGCGGTCAAAAAATATAAATATATTGTTCGATAAATATATTTAGACTAGATCAATGATAATCAAAAGAAACGAAATGAAAAGAAATAATTACATCCGTATAAATATTATCAATTCTAATCCGTCATTTCTCCCAAATTTCTGATTGCATCTATTCATTTCTCGCAAATTCCACGTTTCTCTTATCTTATCAATTTCTTTTCATCAAAGAAGACGAAATTCATAATGCGTGAAAGAATCTTCAATCTAAAAGATAATTATTTTAAAAAGTAGGCAAACAAAAGACATGTAAAAGCTTGTTTTGATGCACCCATGGGTGCATCCAGATGCGCAACCGTCCGCTGAGTACTCAGGGAGCTCTTTCATCTGATTTCAGCATATTCTGTTAAATCCTAAAATATAGACCAATCAGATGAAAGAGCTCCCTAAATACTTAGTGGACGGTTGCGCATCTGGATGCACCCAATAGGTGTAGTAAACCTTAGTCTTAAGGAATTGATCAATCACAGTCGAATGTCAGAAGAACAATCAACTATGATTGTTCAATTCCTTAAGGCTTAAGGCTTGCTACACCTATTGTGTTGACGGGGTTACACAATGCAGCCAACATAAAGTAGTGTGTTTAAACAATCGGCAAAGAAACGAGATAAAATCCAAACGGTCGACGAACGTTGTCCGCATTATCCACTTATTACAATATTACGCTAATTGTAAGATTTGTAAGAGATTATAAAATTTCACAATAATAAAAGGTGAAGAAAACGGGTTAATGAGGGTGAAGCGCTATAATCGTTGTGCAATTTGTATGTGTAAATCTTCAATTTATTTGGACATTTCGACTCACGTTTGAGTCATCCTCAGCAATACGTATAAACGTGAGTCGAACCGTCCAAATAAATTGAAGATTTACACATACAAATTGCACAACGATAATACAGCGCTTCATTCTCATTAGCCCGTTTTCTTCAACTTTTATTATTGTGACAATTGCGAGAGTACGTACAATTTTAAATTGTTATTTAAATTTGTATTTTTTAATTGTATTATAAGATTTTCTAAAATCTATCTTACCACCGTAAGTCGGGGGTTGCGTCGGCGCGGGGACAAAGCCGGTCGGTGGATGCGGCGCCACCGGATACGCTGTAACATAAGGTAATACGTAATGCAGCTCTACCTGAATTCGCAGGTCGCGAATAGCATGTGTGTGTGTGTTCGATCTAAGCCAACATGGTACGTGGTACCACACTGCCAGAAAGGACGAGTGCCGGCGCAACCCGTCCGCGTCCCGACGCGGCACCGAAGAACGGAATCCGCACATAATCTTGGCAGATCGTAAATCCCGTCCGCGTCGAGCACGCATAGAGCGCGTCGTCGAGATTAGGGGCGCGATTGGATTCTCTTCCTCGTTGTGGTTCCAAACCAATTCCATTTTTCTGCATCATCGTCTCAATATCAAAGCGGTCCGAACAAATTCGATTAAATTTTTTTGATTTTTGTTTTTCAGCTACTTGTTTGTAGCTGTTTGAAATGATTTTAGCAAATGTTCAATTTTTCAATTATTCACGTTCTCTTGGGATTTGATATTTCTTGATCAATATAATCCATACTAATAGTTTACAGCACAATAGTACAAATTGCTAAAAGCCAAAGTCAATTCAGCAATTCGAGTTTCAGATACTCATTAAAATATGTGTGTTTAACTAAGCGATATTATTCGTGATAACAAGATGAATAATTGAAAAAAGTGTACAAGAAAACCAGTTTAAGATGGTAGTTTTCAGCATCGTTCAATTGACATTTCACGTTTCAATTCACATTTCATTTCCAGACGATTCTTTGAAAGTCACTTTCAGTTCAAACTATTGTTATAAGTTGTTTTATAACAATTAATAGCATTGAGATAAGTTTCGTTCTCGGATAACGTGCCCGAAGATAATATAAAAGACGTGTTCTCGCCACATCGAAGAGATAGTCCAATGCGCCGCCGATCTCCAGAGTGGTACTCCCACACCCAAGTATATCTTACACATGACATACACCGTTTTGATCAAGATACTATTCAAAGCTCAAACAATGTTAGTCACTAAATAATGGTGAAAAGAAATAACCGAAGATATCGCGCCCGCCTGTCGCTCCCGGGGCCTTCCTTGAGCTCTATTTCGCCCGGCGTAAACTGCCGGGGCGCAGACGGGCTTCTTTATAAAAACATTTACAAGATGACCAACCACTCCTCTTATCCCGAAAGACATCTACTCAATCTTTGCATTGATTTCTTATGAAAATGTGTACCCACACAAGCGACTGATGTTTCCTAATCATTTTGGCTTATCATTTTAGCATGTATTTAAAAATTTGTTTCCAAACATGAAATCCTTGAAAATGTAAATCCTTCTTCATAAATATAAATAAAAATGAGAGGATATTAACCTTTGAGTAGGTTGCTACAGTACTCTACGCTAGTTATCCAAAAAACCTTGTTCTCTGGAAAAGAAAATAAAAAGAGTTATCCAAAAGTTTTAAAGTTAATTATTTTTATATTTTTACATTCCTCTATCTTATAAAAATAAAATAATGTAAATTTAACTCTACGCATACTGTTAAAAAATATTATTATAAAATAAAATTTGTTTGAGATATTCTGAACATCCCACTTACCTACTTAAAGGTTAAAAGGAAGAAAAAATTTTCGTAGAGTAACATTTTTTAAATAAGAAACAAAAGATAAAATATACTTATACCGCAACAGGGTGCCTATCATGAAATATGTCGGAATGGATTCCGAACGGAATTATTCCGTTTTCCCTAGAAAACACAATAGAAATCTAGGGAATAATTGAATAATTCCGATCGGAATCGATTCCGACTTGTTCTATGATAGGTACCCTGGATATTTTTATCCATATTTATTAATAAAGGTACAATTTTAAAAAGTGATAGAAAAAAAGCCAGTGATTTTATCAACTTAGATCTGATAATTTTGATTTGAATTGCTTCCGATTTTTGGAGTGTCTTTTTTTCTTTTCGAGAAGTTGATCACCTTGGACCATACCCATTCGAGGATCCATCGAGATCGCTAATAGATCGTCCACACAAATGGATCCACGATCAAGGAGTTAAAACGAATCGCACTCGAGAATAATTCGATAAAGAAATCTTCCCGAATAGAAAGAATTCATGCACTACCAAAACTTTAATGAGTTTGAATGTTCTTTGAAAATTTATGAATTTTTGTTAGTTGAAGTTCAAAATCATTGCTCACAGAAAATTCACAGACGATTATTCTCGAACAATGATTCGTCATTGAGCAACCTTTACTTCTAAAACTAAGATTTAATACGAAACCGATCTCAAAGCAAATAGCGTTACGCAATCAAGGTAGAAGCCAAATACATTCGTCTAAAAGGTTGAGCCTGAGGGATCCATGTAAATAAGGCGTCAACAAACATCCGTTCAAGTATGTGCAATCTTTAAGATAAATTATTAACGTCTTGGATTCTTGCAACAAATAGATGCTTTTTTAATCCATACGAAGGTAAGGCTACGTTATATCGATCGGTACATTTTGCAGTTTAGAGTGCTTGACACTCAAAATCGCATAAAATTTAGAATAATTCTATTGCCTGAGACGCTTTAATCTTAATTATTTATCTTAAGTCAGCTCATCTTTTTGCTACATGAAGATCTCACAAACTTGGAATCTGCATCAAAATTGAGATTTGTGATTCTTAGTATTATTTTTAGATATTGTTTTTTCGCATCTCTTTTCGAAAGTGTTTGATTTATCCAAAACATCAACAATCTATTCATCTGTTTCATTTCATGAATCATTAACCCGTTATATTCTTACTTATCAATTATATCTTTACATTCATATTAGATTTAATTTCCAGCAATATCTGAAAAAGTAGTGTAGTTTTCGAACATAAAGGGTTGAAGATTAATCCAAATGCAAATCGATCAATCCCGAGGCTCGACCGTATTCAAAAAACAGAAAAACGACAAAAACAGAGCTAAAATAAAGCCAGGTACGAAGGATAACGGTTGCTCCAAAAAGTGATGTTAAAACAAGCCCAAGTATTCGAAGGACTCGCGATATGAAAACGGCAGTCCGCTTTAACATCATCATTATCATCATTATCATCGTGTCATCGTTCTCGTCATCATCGCCGTTCTCATCATCGCCAGCAATGACGAGATGCGATTTCACAAGTCGAGCCGAGAAGAAGAGTCTCTATACGTCTCTCTTTCTCTTCTTTTCTATTTTCTTTTTTTTTTGGGCGGTGAATGTGTAATTTATACAATGAGTATAGTGGTACGATGATTATGTATATATATATATATAATATTTATATATGCATACATAGCGGTGGACTATGTATGCATATCGGGCTCCACACATTCAAAAAGTCGTGACAAGACTCAGCAAACCACAAATTTCTGCAAATATCCAGAGATAAAGGTTAAACATGATTAAAAGTTCCTCGGAATCGTGTGTAATAGTAAGTAAGTAACGTTGGCGACCGGCCGCATCGCGACGTCGCGAGACGTTCGGCCGCCTATTTCTTTCTCTAATTCTTTTAATTATCTAAACCGCGCCATGCGCCACGCACCGTCGCCATCGGGAGGCCAATTATCCTTCTGGATATTTCTACGTCAATATAATAACGTTGAGCTGCAACGTTTTGGAGAGAGGAAAAATGTGCATATATAGAATTTGAGATAAATTACTAAGAAATTTTTATTTTTTTAAACCCTTAATAATTTCGTTCTCTCTCTCGACAGCCTCGGACTTTATCAATAAAATAACGTTCTCAAAAGACATTCATCGAAATCGTTGAAAAAAAGAATCGTTTCAAATAAATATGTAAAAGAATTTTTTTACGAATTATAAAGCTACTGGAAAGTTAAAAAGCAAATATTTGAAAAATGAAAATTTTCTATCCTCTGGATATTGTCCGCGCGATTGCGCTGGTGCTGCATAGACATGTTGTACTCTAACATAAATGTCAACTCATACCAAATTGTTCATGATATGATCAAAAGCCGATCGAAATGGCGGAAACAAGCGATCCAACACAATTTTCGCACGACCATCTTTTGCCGTGATTTCACGAGAAATTGTAACAGGTGGTACAACGCAATACTTCACTTTTGATATACTTACAGATACTAGTTATTAGCTAAGCTTCAGTAAAATTTTGAAAAATTTAAGAACATGATAAACTGGAAAAATCAGTTGTAATACTTATAATTATAAAACAAAAAAGAAACACAAGAGTGAACTTGAAAAATGAAAAAATTTAGGAAAAATCGGAAATTCAAAGATCTAGAAATCCAACGGCTCCTGCATACTTGCGCGGCAAGATGCGATGCGGTTAATCAATCGCTCACTTTTCTGGAAAAAATATCTTCCGAATTCGCATGGAAAAAGTTGAATTCGATCCAATTCTTGCCGCGTTTAGTGTGTAGAAGCTATAAAAATTCAAAAATCCAGACATCTCCAATTTAAAGATTTAAGGAAATAAAGTTCTCAGACAATGAGGATAGCTACAGAACTGCATAGATTGCAACTTTCGATGATTCTTGATACTTGTGTTTCTCGACAAAAATTATGAAATTGAAGACAATCGTCACATTAAAACTCTCGGTTCTGTTACTCTATATTCGTTTAAGAATCTCTGCGGGTGTTCTGGATGCTGGTTCATCCGCATATTCGTGCAACCTTCGAGGAATAACAATTTAAGTGTCTATGTGTCACGGTGCAAACAATCATCGAATCAATCACAACCGATTGTATTAATGCTAGTTTACGGCTTAATGTTAAAAGTGTCTATCGCTCTTTTCTTTCTCTCTCCCACACACACGCACACTCTCTTTCTCTTTCACTTCTTCGATTAGTTCCAATGAGCAGTTCGACACTATCCAGATACTATATACTCGTACTTATGTAATTTTTTTTTTCCTTCAATTATCTCTGTTTTCGCCGGTCCACATTAAACGACCGGCAAAGAACAATTCAAAACTTGCTTTTTTTGCTGGACGATGATTCATCGAAATGCTTCCGTGGACAACAAGACGTGTTCTCGAGACGAGCGGAATCACCAGAAGCGTGCTGGGAAACATAGACGTTGCGAATTCTACGAAACCGATCCGTGAAGTGAAATATTAAAAATATCAAACATTTGTAAGAATACAAAAGGAAAGAGAAAGATATACATTTTTTAATATAAAAATTTTCAAACGTACGATAAATTGTCGGAAGAAAATTCAAGATTAAGAATATCTCTTTGGAGCTATGCAAGAAACAAGTAGATGCAAGCAAGAGATAAATCTTGTTGTTTTCCCAAGATTTGTCCATTCGCTGCCGATAATTCCTGAATTCTCGTCAGCGAGAACACTTTCGTCGATTATATCGATTAGCGTATCAACGAATGCTATTTCGCTTAAGCTCACTATTAACAGTGTACATGATTACAAGTTCTATCAATCATGCGCATGCAGTGATCGCGACGCTGAGAGACTTCGCCGCGATCAACCGGTGGATTGATCTGAAACTATACACGAGAAAAAAAAACGCGATATCGTTGTAATATATACAAAATACAACGATTTTTCGAGACGGTATGTGAAAGAAAGGAATCTTCACCGTCTGGGACGCGA